TTATCATCTGAATGTACAACAAAATGTACCCTAAGTAAAACATTTCAAATATGCTCAAATGTAAACAGCGCCCTCTAGTGGATTTATCAACTGAATGTACAACAAAATGTACCCTAAGTAGCACATTTCAAATATGCTAAAATGTAGACAGCGCCCTCTAGTGAATTTATCATCTGAATGTACAACAAAATGTACCCTAAGTAGCACATTTCAAATATGCTAAAATGTAGACAGCGCCCTCTAGTGGATATGTCATCTGAAATGTACAACAAAACGTACCCTATGTACTCAAAATAACACATTTCAAATATGCTAAAATGTAGACAGCGCCCTCTAGTGAATTTATCATCTGAATGTACAACAAAATGTACCCTAAGTAAAACATTTCAAATATGCTCAAATGTAAACAGCGCCCTCTAGTGGATTTATCATCTGAATGTACAACAAAATGTACCCTAAGTAACACATTTCAAATATGCTAAAATGTAGACAGCTCCCTCTAGTGGATTTATAATCTGACTGAACAACAAAATGTACCCTAAGTAGCACATTTCAAATACGCTAAGATGTAGACAGCACCCACTAGCGAATTTGTCATCTGAAACGTGCAACAAAACGTACTCTATGTACCCAAAATAACGCATTTAAAATATGCTAAAATGTAGACAGCGCCCACTAGTGAATTTGTCAAATGAAACGTGCAACAAAAAGTACCCTAAGTTACACATTACAAATTCATAAAAAATGTAGACAGCACATACTAGCGAATTTGTCATCTGAAACACAACAAAATGTACCCAAAGTAACATATTTCAAACACGCTGAAATGTAGACAGCGCCCTCTAGTAGATTTGTCATCTGAAACGTGCAACGAAACGTACCTGAAGCAAGTGAGCCTGGGTTGGTATTAGACTCTATGATTTATGATATGTAGAAAAATGCACAAAATCACAGAATCCAATCATAATTTCCTCCATATCGCAACATTCGATAAAATCAAAAATAAGCACGCCCAATCAAATGACAATATACAGTACGTAAAATTCACTATTTACTCTTCCTCAAGTGGTTCCAAACCTTTATGAGTTTCTTTCCTCTATAGAAACTCAAAACCTGTGCCCAGAGTATTTGATTTTCCTACTATGAAAGTCAATGGTTACAGGTTTTAGCATTCTTCAAAATATCTTCTTTAACGGAATACACTTGGAACAAGTAAACGGTGAGTAATAGGTGACATAATTGTCTTTTTTTGGGTGAACAGTCCCTTTAAAGTTACAGTTACAGTTCCCACACCATTTACTCACACCCAAGTGGTTCTAAACCTGAATTTCTTTCTTCTGTTGAACACAAAACAAGATATTTTGAATAATGTTATTCAAGTAAATGTCTGCTTCATTTTCCAGCATAAAAAAAGAAAATCAGTAAGTTTAAACAAGTGGAGGAAGAGTAAATAATGACAGAACTGATTTTTAGGTGAAAAAAAATTTCTTTTTTTTCATTTTGATTAACTGGAATCCCTGATTAATGAGATATAATTCAAATATTTGACCTTCTCAAATCTTATCTTATTTAAATAAATCTTATTTAGGCCTTAAAAAGTCTTAAATCTACTGAAATGTTGTGTTGTAGGGCTTAAAGTTTGTTTTAACAGGTCTTAATTTTCCTTTGTTTAGTATAGCTACCCAATCTGGCCATTAACACCCATACAATCACCAACAATACCCAATCAAAAATAAATAACGTTAACTAAACAATTAACGTTTAATTTAAAAATAGCCTTTAATTACATTCCTTACAGGAACATTTGTTTAAAAGTTCTCCAATTTTTACTGCTGACAATACCGACCTGACCTATTTTTTATTATTAAGTTATTATTATTATTATTATTATTATTATTATTGTAGAAGTAATTGACAGCTCTGTTTTCTATCATTCTTGAAATTAATATAAATTAATTATTAATTTATATATTAATTTATATAATATATTGATTGTATATTAATTAATAATTAATATAAAATTAATATAAAAATATTCTAACTAAATTTTTTAATTATTGTTGTATTATTAAATGTATTATTAATTTCAATCATTTTTTGACAGGACAAGTACAAATCTTTTCTAACTGGAATATTCAAAATAAAAAAATAATTGCCATCTAGCCTTTTTATAAGTCTAAAATTTCTTTCATAACGGTCTTTAAAAAATGTACCCTGCAGAAACCCTGATCTTATATGACTGCTCGCTATTCACACAGTCCACATGATCACATGTTCAAAGTCAAACATGATCAATCCCCTACATATACCGCTATATATGCTCCCTGATGTGCACAACACACAATAGGAGACATTATTAGACTCGTCACATACAGTAGAGATATAAATCTGGACACTGGTGGAAACATTTAGGATCATGTAGCAAGATTTGTAACTAAAAGCAAATTTCTCACACATTGATTGCACCTTCAATGTAAAATATTCCACTGACTAAAGCTTTTATTTCCAGCTAAACCACTAAACAACAACAACAGGCTGCTGATAAATATGAGGTAATCATTCTCCAAATGACTGGCTTTTAACGGGGGAGTGAGTTTACAGTGTGAATCACCAGTAATGCTAATGCTTCAGAAATAAACACGCGTTCAGAATTAGCCAAGAGAGTAAATAACAGCATTTAAAAGTTGGCCAATCAAATAAATGCACCTCTGCTGAATGACTTCACAGCATCAGGAAAGCTTAGGTCAAACACAGAGCACAGTGCGAGTGTGTGTGTGACAATCACATGATCTAATACAGCCTTACTGTAAAGCAGAGCACTGTGTCAATCCAATACGTCTGGCAACAGCTAGTTTCTTTCAATATAAATATCCGACATGTTGTATTTTGTATTTCTTAAATACCTTTGATTACAGTTAGGGCTGCACAAGACATCATATCAGCATTGATATCGCAATGTGTCTATATCCACAATATTTACATCGCAAGATATGCAATGCTGAGTCGGGATAATAGTTGACCTGAAACACACAAGATTTGTGCAGTCACTGCAGAACTGAACCATAATATAATGAACGTTAGTCATTTATATGTGTTTTTATTAATTAATGTAACTGTGTGAGCATTTTAAGATAGTTTAAAGCATTCAGGCACAATAAAATGTACAGTTTGTAACTAATAAACATAATTTTATTGGAATTTTTAAAAGATGAAACCTATTCACTGTTATTGCACATTTATTTTCTACAAAGCATGTTGTATACAGTAAAACTTGCAGACTTTTTTAGTTACATCCATAAGGAAAGTTTATTTCCCTTATTTAGAATCTAAACCATGTGTACAGATTGATATTTTTCGGTTCCCTTAGCTCTGTGGTTGGTTGTTTTGGAAAATAAGAACAGATGTTTCAATATAATGTGAACATGTACTTCCTCTGTGAATTTAGGTCTTGAGTTTTTACTGCAAATGTCACATCCATAATGCTGGAATTGCTTGCTAATGTTGTATTAGAGTCATACTTGGATGCGATTTCAGACCCAATATTCATATTAGCCTGGAAAACAGTAGGGGCTGTTAAAATGAACGAATGCGAGACTGTAAAACCAACCTCACCTCAATGGTGTAAAGTAACGTTAGTGTAGTTGTAGAAAACTGTACTTTGATAGTCATCGCACCCCAATATAAAATAAATAAATAAATGTGTTGGGTTATTTTGATTTTATTAATTCTCTTCTGAGCTATAAAGCAGAATATGGAGCTCTGTGTGCTGTAGAGGCTGTCCAGCAGCTGCAGCAGGCTTCACTCAGTGTCCACAATGTACAATATAGTTTAACCACATCCAGATGCTTCTAAAAGATGGTCTTAGATGGTAAAATGGAGGTAATTTGATAAAAAAAAAAAATAACAACAATATTATTGCGCTAGAGCTTAAATAAACTTTACAACGCAAAAACAACATTAAACACACATAATAATACAGCTGTTTTGAGGCAGTTAAATCAGTTCAGTTGAAATTAAAAATTTTAATTCAACTTGTTGAGTTTTTAAAAATTAACCTAATAAAAGTTAATAACCCAACAAAGTACCAAATATTGAAATAAACTGGTTGAGTTATTAATAAATAACTTAATAAAAGGTTAAAAATAACCAAAAACGTAACTCAACTGGTCGACTTATTAATAAATAACTTAAAGGTTAAAAATAACCAAAACAAAGCATCAAACATGTAACTCAACTGGTCGACTTATTAATAACAAACTTAATAAAAGGTTAAAAACAACCCAACAAAGCACCAAATATTGAACTCAACTAGTTAAGTTATTAATAAATAACCAAATAAAGGTTAAAAATAACCCAACAAAGCACCAAATATTGAACTAAACTGGTCGAGTTATTAATAAATAACTTAATAAAGGTTAAAAATAACCAAAAAATGTAACTCAACTGATCGACTTATTATTAAATAACTTAATAAAGGTTAAAAATAACCCAACAAAGCATCAAACATGTAACTCAACTGGTCGACTTATCAATAAATAAATTAATAAAAGTAAAAATAACCCAAACAAAGCACCAAATATGTAACTCAACTTGTTGAGTTATTAATAATAAACTTAATAAAAGGTTAAAAATAACCAAACATGTAACTCAACTAATCGACTTATTAATAAATAACTTAAAGGTTAAAAATAACCCAAACAAAGCATCAAACATGTAACTCAACTGGTCGAGTTATTAATAAATAACCAAATAAAGGTTAAAAATAACCCAACAAATCACAAAATATTGAACTCAACTGGTCGAGTTATTAATAAATAACTTAATAAAAGGTTAAAAATAACCAAAAAATGTAACTCAACTGATCGACTTATTATTAAATAACTTAATAAAGGTTAAAAATAACCCAACAAAGCATCAAACATGTAACTCAACTGGTCGAGTTATTAATAAATAACTTAATAAAGGTTAAAAATAACCCAAACAAAGCACCAAATATTGAACTCAACTGGTCGAGTTATTAATAAATAACTTAATAAAGGTTAAAAATAACCCAAACAAAGCACCAAATATTGAACTCAACTGGTCGACTTATCAATAAATAAATTACTAAAAGTTAAAAATAACCCAACAAAGCACCAAATATGTAACTCAACTGGTCGAGTTATTAATAAAAAACTTAATAAAAGGTTAAAAATAACCAAACATGTTACTCAACTGGTCGACTTATTAATAAATAACTTAATAAAGGTTAAAAATGACCCAACAAAGCATCAAACATATAACTCAACTGGTCGACTTATTAATAAATAACTTAATAAAGGTTAAAATAACCCAACAAAGCATCAAACATGTAACTCAACTGGTTAAGTTATAAATAAACAACCAAATAAAGGTTAAAAAATAACCCAACAAAACACCAGATATTTACCTCAACTGGTTATGTTATTAATAAATAACCAAATAAAGGTTAAAAAATTGGTGGAGTTAATCATAAAATAACCTAAAGATTCGTTTCACAGAGATGGGTTGCTGCTGGAAGGGCATGCACTGTGTATATGTGATGGATAAGTTGGCGGTTCATTCCGCTGTGGCGACCCCGGATTAATAAAGGGACTAAGAGGACAAGAATATGAATAAATGAATAAAGATTAAAAATGACCCAACAAAGCACCAGATATTTAACTCAACTGATCGACTTATTAATAAATAACTTAATAGAGGTTAAAAATAACCAAAAATGTAACTCAACTGATCGACTTATTAGTAAAAACTTAATAAAGGTTAAAAAAAAAAGCAGCATATATTTAACTCAACTGGTCGAGTTATTAATAAATAACTTAATAAAGGTTAAAAATAACCAAAAATGTAACTCAACTGATCGACTTATTAGTAAAAACTTAATAAAGGTTAAAAAAAAAAGCAGCATATATTTAACTCAACTGATCGACTTATTAATAAATAACTTAATAGAGGTTAAAAATAACCAAAAATGTAACTCAACTGATCGACTTATTATTAAATAACTTAATAAAGGTTAAAAAAAGCACCAAATATTGAACTCAACTGATCGACTTATTAATAATTAACTTAATAGAGGTTAAAAATGACCCAACAAAGCGCCATATATTTAACTCAACTGGTCGAGTTATTAATAAATAACTTAATAAAAGGTTAAAAATAACCAAAAATGTAACTTAACTGATCGACTTATTAGTAAATAACTTAATAAAGGTTAAACAAAAACCAACAAAGCACCAGATATTTAACTCAACTGGTCGACTTATTAATAAATAACCTAAAGATTTGTTTCCAAGAGATGGGTTGCTGCTGGAAGGGCATGCGCTGTGTAAAAATGTGATGGATAAGTTGGCGGTTCATTCCGCTGTGGCGACCCCGGATTAATAAAGGGACTAAGCTGACAAGAATATGAATAAATGAATAAAGATTAAAAATAACCCAACAAAGCACCAGATATTTAACTCAACTGGTCGAGTTATTATTAAATAACTTAATAGAGGTTAAAAATAACCAAAAATGTAACTCAACTGATCGACTTATTAGTAAAAACTTAATAAAGGTTAAAAAAAAAAACAAAGCACCAAATATTTAACTCAACTGATCGACTTATTAATAAATAACTTAATAGAGGTTAAAAATAACCCAACAAAGCACCAAATATTTAACTCAACTGGTCGAGTTATTAATAAATAACTTAATAAAAGGTTAAAAATAACCAAAAATGTAACTCAACTGATCGACTTATTAGTAAATAACTTAATAAAGGTTAAATAAAATCCAACAAAGCACCAGATATTGAACTCAACTGGTCGAGTTATTATTAAATAACTTAATAGAGGTTAAAAATAACCAAACATGCAACTCAACTGATCGACTTATTAATAAATAACTTAAAGGTTAAAAATAACCCAACAAAGCACCAAATATTTAACTTAACTGGTCGATCGACTTATCAATAAATAACTAAATAAAAGGTTAAAAATAACCAAAAACGTAACTCAACTGATCGACTTAAGCTGACAAGAAAATGAATAAATTAATAAAGATTAAAAATAACCCAACAAAGCACCAGATATTGAACTCAACTGGTCGAGTTATTATTAAATAACTTAATCAAGGTTAAAAACAACCCAAAAAAGCACCAAATATGTTTAACTCAACCACTGGGTTAAATAAATAACTCAACATTTTTTAGAGTGTAGTATAGCACTGAAGCACTGTAGTAGTTAACGTTACAATAATTTACAAACAGTATTGTCACACACCAACAGTCGGTATTTTCATCATGACAGAAAGACAACACGCGAGTCTAACGTGGAGATTCCCTGACTAAATCCACATAGACAACAGTATGACACACACAAACAGCGCCTTAATAAAACAATGTACAGTCGGATTTCGCTACAAAAGTTATAACACTTCTGAGGAAAAAGCCCTACGCAGTTGTGAAACACAACAGAACTAATGACAAACAGCTGTTGGGAGAATCCGCGCGAATCGGGTTTGTTTTGCTGTGAGGAAAGTGACAGCTCGAGGAACTCCAACGGTAAAAAGTGCGTACAGTTTAACAGCAACGCTATAATCCGCACATTATATCAGCCACAGCACACTCACACACTATTTAGTGAGGAAACGAGGTTATAACCTGATTTTGTGGCGAAATGCCAGGCGCTAAAACGGTGTCCTCCCCAAATGTCCGTTAAAAACAGAACGCTAATGGCAAGCAGCTGTGCGTGAAGGTGTGTAAACGCTCCTCACCTGCACGACACTGTAATCTCAACTTTTGTGGCAGGAATTGTGGCGTTGAGCGGGTCGAAATCTCCTGTCGTCGCCATATTCAGAAAGCCGCAACTGCTCATGCTGTTCATGGTGAGTTATGTCTTGGTAAAGCCAGTAGACGGAAGAATGTGGACACTCACGCCTCTTTACAACACTGCGTTCATGGGGGATTGCGAAAGATTGTGGAGAAGCGGAGCTCCAGTCAGTCCAGCACAGAGACAGCAGCGTCCCCTCTGCTCGCCATGAGTGTGTGTGTGTGTGTGTGTGTGTGTGTGGCGAAGGAATGATGCCACACTTGGAGATTTCTTCGCTGTGAATTCATGTGAGTCTCCAAACACATTTAACACTGGCACTGCCGTCACTGATATACAAAAACAATTGATAATTGTTTTTATTACGTATTATTATCATTATTATTATTATTAATATTATAATAATTATTATTATTATTATTTATACGCAATAGTTTTTTTAAATAACTGATGAAATATTTACTTAATCCCATTGTAATGTGTGTTAGTACTACTGAATGTATTTTAATACATAATTGTCATATATAAATTATTGTTTCTATATATACGTGATGTAGCCTAAATACTTTTATTAAAACTTGAGCACATGTAGACTATAACAATGGTGTAATTACATCACAAATTAATGTAGTTTTTATAATAATATATTATAATAATTTAAATAAAATTCATTCATTTATTCATACATTTTCTTGTCGGCTTAGTCCCTTTATTAATCGGGGGTCGCCACGGCGGAATGAACCGCCAACTTATCCAACAAGTTTTTACGCAGCGGATGCCCTTCCAGCCGCAACCCATCTCTGGGAAACATCCACATTCACACACACACACACACACACACACACACACCAGAGCATATCTTTAAACTGTGGGGGAAACCGGAGCACCCAGAGGAAACCCACGCGAACGCAGGGAGTACATGCCAACTCCACACAGAAACGCCTACTGAGCCGAGGCTCGAACCAGCGACCTTCTTGCTGTGAGGCGACAGCACTACCTACTGCGCCACTGCTTCGCCAACAATAATAATGATAATAATAATAAACAATGATGGTGATAATAATATAAATAATTAGTAATTAATAATAACAACAACAATAATAATAACAATAACTTCAATAAAATAATAAAAACAATAATAATAATAATAATAATAATGAATAATTAGTAATTAATAATAACAACAATAATAATAATNCCAATCACAAAAACAATAATAATAATAATTAAAACAATGATAATAATAATAATAATAATTATAATAATAACAATAATAAAAATAACAATAATAATAATGATAATAATAATAATAATAATACTAATTCTAATACTAATAATAATAACAACAATTACTATATTAATTGTAATGATATTAATATTAATAATAATAATAATAATAATAATGATGATATGAATAATAATAATAATAATATAAATAATTAGTAATTAATAATAATAACAACAATAATAATAATAGCAACAATAATAATTTTACAACTAATCATAATAGTTTTAATAACTCATCTCTAATAACTGATTTATTTTCTCTTTGTCATGATGACAAGAAATAATATTAGACTAGATATTCTTCAAGACACTTCTATACAGCTTAAAATCACATTTAAAGGATTAACTAGGTTAATTAGGTTAACTAGGCAGGTTAGGGTAATTAGGCAAGTTATTGTATAATGATGGTTTGTTCTGTAGACTATCGGAAAAATATAGCTTAAAGGGGCTAATAATATTGACCTTAAAATGGTGTTTAAAAAATTAAAAACTGCTTTTATTCTAGCCGAAATAAAACAAATAAGACTTTCTCCAGAAGACAAAATATTATCAGACACACTGTGAACATTTCCTGAATCTGTTCAACATCATTTGGGAAAAATTTTATAAAGAAAAACAAATTGAAAGGGGGGCGAATAAATCAAACAATAGTAAACAAAGCCAAGTCCGTAATGCTCGCCGAGCCTTTGCGCTCTTCTTATTGGCCCACCACTGCTCTAGCACTGAAATATCAGCTGTCAATCACTCAGTCAATGCTATCTGGCTTGGAATGACAGAGAGAGCTACTACCGCGAAAAACTGTAAAGCTCTGAAGATGAGGATGAAGATAACATCTAAAGTTACAAATAATGACACATCTAGTGATCATGTGCTTTATGTTAATCCACCATGTACACTTTTCCAAGAGTGGATACAAGACTTCCATTGGCTTCAAGTCCACTATGAAAAGTCTGTTATAGGGAATTTTCAGGTAACTGTTTGCCAGATCTAGCACGAGAGCTTCTGTTTAATCCATCATTTAAATGTTAGATGCTGTCCGCCGTGCAACTGCCAGCTATATGTCAAATTTAACACCACGTACACCATCGCAAATGGGCTTGCCCTGAGTAAACTAACATTGTTCTTCATAAAAAGACCAACATTGCTATTAACATGACGTATGCATATAATAAGGTGCTGTATATGTTAAAATAATCAGTGCAATATATTTGTGTGTGTGTGTGTGTGTGTGTGTGTGTGTGTGTGTGTGTGTGTGTGTGTGTGTGTGTGTGTGTATATATATATTTTTTTTTAAAGAAATATTTAATTAAACAAACTAATATACAGAATATAATAATAATAATAATAATAATAATTATTATTATTATTATTATTATTATTATAAAACAAGAATATTATTAATAATAAACAACAACAATAATAATATTAGTTATAATAATAATAATAATAACAATAATAATTATAATATTAATAATAATAAAAACAATAATAACCACAAACAACATTTATAATAATAATAATTATTATTATTATTATTATTATTATTATTATTACTTTATTCAAGTGTGATACTGTATCTTAATTACTATTTAAATATTAACTAATCAAATAAAATACTTAATGTAATACAATATTAATATAGAAAGAATTTTTTCGTTATAAATGATGCAAATGACGTAAATACCTTGATTAAATACCTTATTAAAGTTAATATTAGTATTAGTATTTAGTATAATAAAATAATAATAATAATAATTTATTATTATTATTGTTGTTGTTGTTTGTTATTATTATTATTATCATCATCATCATTATTGTTTATTATTATCATCATAATTATTGTTTTTATTATTATTATTATTATTATTATTATTGTTGTTGTTATTGTTGTTTATTATTCATATTAATGTTTTATTATTATTATTATTATTAATATTTTTATTGTTATTATTAATATTATCATTATTATTATTGTTATTATTATTATTATTAGCATTATTATTATCATTGTTTTATTATTGTTGTTGTTATTGTTATTATTATTGTGTTATTATTATTAATTACTTATTATTTATAATATTATTATTATTATTATTTTATTATTTTTTTATTATTATTATTATCATTATTATTATCATTATTATTATTATTATTAATAATATTATTGTTGTTTTTTTTATTGTTATTATTATTGTTGTTGTTATTATTAATTACTAATTATTCATTAGGTCGCTGGTTCGAGCCTCAGCTCAGTTGGCGTTTCTGTGTGGAGTTTGCATGTTCTCCCTGTGTTCACATAAGTTTCCTCCGGGTGCTCTGGTTTCCCCCACAGTCCAAACACATGAGGTACAGGTGAATTGGGTAGGCTAAATTGTCCGTAGTGTATGAGTGTGTGTGAATGTGTGTGTGGATGTTTCCCAGAGATGGGTTGCGGCTGGAAGGGCATCCGCTGCATAAAAACTTGCTGGATAAGTTGGCGGTTCATTCCGCTGTGGCGACCCCAGATTAATAATGGGACTAAGTCGACAAGAATATGAATGAAATTGTTTTTTTTATATAATTTGTTATAATTATTATTATTATTATTAATTTATTAATTTTCATCTCGGCTTATCCTACAGACTCAGCCGAGGCTCAAACCAGTGACCTTCTTGCTGTGAGGCAATTGTTCTAAAAACTGCACCACCATAAAGCCCCATTATTATTATTATTATTATTATTATTATTATTATTATTTTAATTATTATTATTATTATTATTATTATTGTTTTGTTGTTATTGTCGTTGTTGTTTTTTTGTTATTTTTTATTATGTTATTTCTAAGTAATAACTTATTATATATTATTATTAATATTATTACTACAGTTATTATTAAGTTCTGGTAACATGCATAGTCATATTTATTTTCTCTTTTGTTCATATTCATATTCCTACATTAATTCTGACAACATTTATATTATATAGAACATCATTTAACAAACAAACATGTTCAGATTCAGTCTGCAGTGATGCACACGTTTACATGTGCTACCAAAACCGCATCCATCTTCCACACTGAACACACAAAGACAAGCGCTCTGATTATGTGGTATTGTTCTCAGATCAAGCCTGTTGAATCGGCTCTTTTTACAGCTGGATTGAATATAACCCGTTATTACATGATGACGAGGAGTGTCATGTTCAGTTTTTGAGGATATTCTGATGCTGTGGGGGAGAAAAATAAAGAAATAAAAAAGCCATTTCAGAGCATCAACAACAGTGATTAATAAATGTATGCCGTCAATTATCGATCACTGGTGCATTCAGGCTAACTGACAAATACCAGGAATGAGCATCAGCGCGATCATGCAGAAACACTGACAGCAGAGCACACAATTATTCATATTACAGAGAGAGTTTGCACAGAAATGCCAAATATTGTTATCGTTTGCTCACTATCACCACTTTCTTCATCTTCCGACAAACACAAAAGAAGATATTTTGAAGAATGTTAGGAACTGCTAGTCATTTGTGTTCGTGAATGCAGAGTTTCATGTTTCAAATATCTTCTTTTGTGCTCAACAGAAAGGTTTGGAGTGAATATAACAGATGAGTTAACGATGACTCACATTTCATTGAGTATTAGTGAATAATGATCATTGAGTAATAGTGAATAATGGTTACCGTAACTGCTCTTTGTGTCAATGGCAGGACTGAATGGGTTGCGTTTACGGCAAGTGGCTCTTTTGTTGAAGTACAAATGAGACATTATTGAATATTCAAGTTGATAAACGGATGTTTTGTGAGGTCTCGCATCTGAAACAGACGAGCTCCTGTTTATTATGAAACTGTGAGGATACTTGTGCTTATTGTGTTACTGTTTAAAATAGTTTATGATGCATTTACAATTATTTATTTATTTATTTATTTATTTATTTATGTATTTGCTTATTTATTTACTCATTTATTTACTCATTTATTTGCTTA